TCTAACCTTGCTTCACTGCGTGAGACTCCACACTGGATTTTGTTAACTCTGCCTTTTTGGCACCCCTGCCTCGTTTCCTGCCCCACCAGTGAGTCCCCTCTTGTGGGAAATGAAATTGTAGAAGATTCTCCAAGTTTGATATTTGTTTACATGCAAATAGTATGTTTATGGAGCTGACATGGAGCTCTCGTGGTGGGAGAGTGGTGAGCAGAGCCACCCATTGCTGTCCTTTTTGTTGTTCTAACCTTGCTTCACTGCGTGAGACTCCACACTGGATTTTGTTAACTCTGCCTTTTTGGCACCCCTGCCTCGTTTCCTGCCCCACCAGTGAGTCCCCTCTTGTGGGAAATGAAATTGTAGAAGATTCTCCAAGTCTGATATTTGTTTACATGCAAATAGTATGTTTGTACAGTGTGTAGATTTACATACTATGTCAACAAAAATAGTAGGTTTACATAGTATGTATTTGTATGCAAAGTGTAATCAAACTTCTATCAAACTCGGAGAATTTTCTACAGATTCATTTCCCACGCTCTGTGAGGATGTGACACCTTCAGGTGGTGCTCCAGAGCGGGTTTGGTGACAAGGGTGGGCTGTGGCTGTGGCCAGTCCTCAGGCAGGACCTGTGGCCAGTAAATCACGTTGTGACACTGGCCTGGAAGGTCCTGGGCAGGCCCCTGGGCTTTCCTTTGGAGGCACGGGAGGCAGGGGACTCCCAGCTGGGGTTTTGTGCTGCTCTCAAAATCACTGAGTGCAAACCAGCTGGGTCACAAGTTCCCTTCTGGCCAAATCTCTTGGGAAATCTTTTCTGGGGGGGGATGAAATCTGCTGGGAAATCTCATCTTGGGGGCACGTGGCTCTCCACCCCTTTCCTGAGTGGTTTGTAAAGCCCTGGGGGTGGCTCTGAGCTCATTTGGGCCCCTTTGGTGGCACTTGTGCTGTGCTGTCCTTTGGCAGAACCCAGGGGGAACTTGTGCCAACTGCACAGAGCCCCCAGACTCAATCCAGCTTGAAGAGAAGTTCCCAACCTCTGCAGGGCCGTGGCCTTGAGGGATGGTTGAGGTTTTTTGGTTGCTGCATACCAGGAATGTGATCTGGGGGGGAGAATTTAGGTGTGGAGAGCAGAAACTGCAGCAGCTGATGAAGGATCTGCTCTGCTCGCTTCCCTCCTCACTCTGTCAGCTGGGAATGAAGGGTCTGTCAGCACCAGCAGGAGCTGTGAGGGGGATTTCACTGATTCCCACTCCCAAGGCAGCCTTCCCAGGCAGCCTGTTCCCAAAACGAGCAGTGGGAGCTCTCATCTTCCAAAAGTTCTGTCCCAGCCTCCCGGGCTGTCAGCCCCTCCCACAGCTTTAGCACAGGATTTTCCAGGTGCAGCATCACAACCTTGTCTGGGAAGAGTGATGGAAAAGGATGAGGATGTTCCTCATCCCCTTTCTCCAGCTCATCCCAACCTTGTCTGAGAAGGGCTGATGGAAAAGAGGGATGAGGAGCATCCTCATCCTGTGTCCAGATGATCCCAACCTTGTCTGGGAAGGGCTAATGGAAGAGGGGATGAGGAGCATCCTCATTTGGCCAGCTCATCCCAATCTTATCTGGGAAGGGAGGATGGAAAAGGGGATGAGGAACATCCTCGTCCTTTCTCCAGCAGATCCCAACCTTGTCTGTGAAGGGAGGATGGAAAAGGGGCATGAGAAACATCCTCATCCTGTGTCCAGATGATCCCAACCTTGTCTGAGAAGGGAGGATGGAAAAGGGGCATGAGAAACATCCTCATCCTGTGTCCAGATGATCCCAACCTTGTCTGAGAAGGGAGGATGGAAAAGGAACCTCCTCATCCTTTCTCCAGCTCATCCCAACTGAGTCTGGGAAGAGTGATGGAAAAGGGGGTGGGGAACGTCCTCATCCTTTCTCCAGCAGATCCCAGCCTTGTCTGGGAAGGGCTAATGGAAAAGGGGATGAGGAGCATCCTCATCCTGTGTCCAGCTGATCCTAATGGAAAAGGGGCATGAGGAACATTTTCATCCATTGTCCAGTTGATGCCAGTGGAAAAGGGGCATGAGGAACATCTTATCCTTTGTCCAGCTCATCCCAGTGGAAAAGGGGGATGAGGAACATCCTCATCTTGTGTCCAGATGGTCCCAACCTTATCTGGGAAGGGCTGATGGAAAAGGAACCTCCTCATCCTTGTTCCAGCTCATCCCAACCTTTTCTGAGAAGGGAGGATGGAAAAGAGGGATGAAGAACATCCTCATCCTTCATCCAGCTCATTCCAATCTTGTCTGGGACAGGAGGATGGAAAAGAGGGATGAGGAACATCCTCATCCATTGTCCAGCTCATCCCAGCCTTGTCTGGGAAGGGCTGATGGAAAAGGGGATGAGGAACATGCTCATCCCAGTCTTATCTGGGAAGGGATGATGGAAAAGGGGGATGAAGAACATCCTCATCCTTTGTCCAGCTGACCCCAATGGAAAAAGGGGATGAGGAACCTCCTCATCCTTTGTCCAGCTCGTCCCAACCTTGTCTGGGAAGGGCTGATGGAAAAGGGAATGAGGAACATCCTTGTGCTGTGTCCAGCTCAGCAGGGTCCCTCTGGCAGTGTCACACCTGCCTTGTGGCACAGCAAAGGTCCTGCCTGGCTTAGCCAGGGCTGAGATTTCCTTTGTTCCGTGGAAGATCCGCCCTGTTGGTGCTTCCAAGGGTCACATTCCTGGCCGGGGGAAGGTAACAGATCTGGTTTTGTGGATAAAATCACCACACGCCTGCTCGGGTGCCAAGTGCAATCCGAGCTCTTTGGGTTGCCTGGGCCACAAACATGATGAATAAAACTGTTCTTCTTGGGGAAAAAAAAAAAATCTGTGTTTCTGACAAGATTCCTGGGGGAGGCTGCCTCCTGATCCGTGCTGGAAGCGAGGCGCATGATCTGGGAGAAAGCTGCTCACGAGTTCTGCTGGGGAAGTTCTGATCCCAGAGTGGAGCAGATGGAAATTTCTGCAGGAAGGGGCTGAGCTGCTGCCTGGAATCTGATGCTGCCTGCTCCTGAGCTACCAAACTCAATCTGGGAGCTGCTTCCCTGCTTTGGGAAGGGTGTTCTTCATTCCAGCACCTCCTGCACAGCGGGCCAGGCTGGAAACGGGCTCTGGGGAGCTGTGCTGCTCTGGAAGGTTGGGTTTTCCTGGGGGTTGTGTTCTCCACATCCTGCCCATCGCCTGGAATCGCTTTCCCACGCAATGAGCTCATGGTTCTGGGAGCCAGGCTCCCCCCTGGCTGCGCTCACCCTTCCCTGCGAGGCTGCCCAGAGCACCTGGAGGCGCTCCAGGATGGGCTCGGAGCACCCTGGGACAGGGGGAGGTGTTGGGCACCAAGGGCCCTTCCACCCCAAACCACTCTGGGATCCTACAGACGCTCCTAAAATCCTGAGGGAGCTTGAGTCCTGAAACCTCCTTTTTCAGGAGTGTTTCTGGGGAAGAAACCTCCTTTTTCAGGAGTGTTTTGGGGGAAAAAACCTCCTTTTTCAGGAGCGTTTTTGGGGAAGAAACCTCCTTTTTCAGGAGTGTTTTGGGGGGAAAAAACCTTTTTCAGGAGCGTTTTGGGGAAAAAAACCTTTTTCAGGAGCGTTTTGGGGAAGAAACCCCCTTTTTCAGGAGCGTTTTGGGGAAGAAACCCCCTTTTTCAGGAGTGTTTTGGGGGAAGAAACCTCCTTTTTCAGGAGTGTTTTGGGGGAAGAAACCTCCTTTTTCAGGAGTGTTTTGGGGAAGAAACCCCCTTTTTCAGGAGTGTTTTGGGGAAGAAACCCCCTTTTTCAGGAGCGTTTCTGGGGAAGAAACCCCCTTTTTCAGGAGCGTTTTGGGGGGAAAAAAACCTTTTTCAGGAAGAAAACTCCTTTTTTCCTGCTGGAAACCAAGCGATAACGGGGTCTGGCAGCTCAGGGAGCAAACAGGGACCTGCAGCTGCCCCCGGGGCAGGTCGGGCTGAGCTCAGAGCGCTGCAAGGCTGGGAATCACCACGGCCAGAAGTGAGTGTGTGCCTTCCCCCTGTAATTACCCCTGTAATTACCCCGGCAGCTGCGTGGCTGAAGAAAGATGAACCCACACACACAAAGAAGCGCCGGGAAATCCCTGTGGCTCCTTCAAATTCACCATTAGGCGGCTCATTAATTTATTTTTGCTTCCCTCAGCGTGCCCCCCTTGCCCTGCTCGTCCCTGCAGGAGCGGAGCGGGGCCGGGGCTGAGCTTCAATCGCCGCTTTAAAGGGCGCAGCTGCGGCTCCTTCCCGGTGGGCTTCTCCCATTCCGGTCACGTCCCGCTCGCTCTCCGTGCTCGGAATGCCCCGCTCCTCTCATTAACCACAGCCACAAAGGCTCCCGGGCCTCCCCGGGGGCACCTTTGCGACAAAAAGGTGACCGTGCCACCCGCGGGGTGTCCTTTGGGGGAGCGGCCGCGTCACCAAGGTTCGGGATGCTCGGGCAGGGCTCACCGTCCTGCCGGCTCCCGGAGTGTGACATCCACTGGGGGATGTCATTCCCTGCCACGTGTGCTCGGGAGAGGGGGTGTGACAGCGCGGGGAGCCCGTGGTGACACTCGCGTGTCCCTAGGAGCGGCCCTTCCCTGCTGCATCCCGCTCCTCCTGGATCCAGCTGTGCCGCTCCCCATCCAGCTGTGCCTCTCCTGCCACCGCAGCTGGCTCGGGGCACGCAGCACCCCCGTGTCACAGCACCCCCTCTGTGCCCTATTCTCGGCCCTATTTCCGTTCCCCTCTCACCCGTCCCATCCTCTTTCCCCTCCGCAGCCCCCGCGGGAAGTTCTGCGCAAACCCCGGCCCCGCTGCGGCTTTTCCGCGGGGGACAAAACCACCAACCCCCTCCCCGAGGGGAGCGAGGAAAACCCAAAAAAAGCCCCCGCGGGCCGCGGTGGAAGCCGTGCGGAGCTCAGGTGTGCGGAGGCGAGCTCGGCTGTCTCTCCCATTTTCCCTGCGCAGGGCCCGCCCTCCCGCGCCATTGGCTGCGCCCGGCCGCTCGCAGCCTTTTGTACGCGGCGAGATGCGGCTGTCAGCCCGCCCGGCCGCCGGCCCCGGCTCGCTCCCGGACTAGGAATGGGCAGCAGGAAGTCGCCTGTTGCCCTCCTGGTGGCCCTGTGGCTCGGCCAGCTGGGAGCGTGGGCAGCGGGGCGCCCCAAGGTGAACCCCCGGATCATCGCGGCTCCCCAAGGTGAGTCCGGGCTGCGCCCTCGGGATGCGGCTGCTCCCCGCGCCGGCTCCTTCCTACCTGGGGCTCGTCCTCTGAGCACTCCGGGCTATTTTTATTTCTTTTGTGTCCTCGGGGAGGCTTTTGGCTCTCGTTAAAACGCCTGTGGGCTGAGGCTGCCGGCTTTTAATTGGCTTTTTAAACCGTTCTTTCTTTTTCTTTTCTCTTTTTTTCTTTTTTTTTTAGTGGTTTAAAAGCATTTTCCTACGAGCTGGGGATGTTAAAGGCTGTCGAAAAGCGCTTTTTCCCCCCCTATCTGCTGGGTATATTAAAGGCTGTCGAAAAGCTCTAACACATTTCCTAACTTGCAGCTCTCCAGAAAGGAGAAGTGTGTATTTACATAGTTAATGCACTTATTTATCTGCGTGAACTCGCCCTGCTCGCTGCAGACGAGTTTGGGGAGTAAATATTTGCCGAGGACCGCTGGTCTCGGGGAAAAAATTTACAAACGGCACGTAAGGACTTTGTAACCAGAGTGGATCCGAGCGAACCCGAACAAAGAAATGTTTTCAAGGCTCCGAGCCTGGTGTGCCGGCGCTGGTTTCATCCCGAGTTTTGGGATGAATCCCCTCCAGGCTGGCTGGAACAAAGCCCCGTTGGCTGTGCCGGGCGGGCTCTGCAGCACAAGGGCTCCTCTGTTGCTCCCCATTCCCTGGCAACTTCCGAGAACGCCCATTTCCCCCGCTCCGCTCCGTGCCATCTGTTCTCCTCCGCTGGCATTTGCGTGCCCTTCCCCGGGCTGGCGGAGCGGGCAGGGGGTGCTGGCCGTGTGCGCGCCTCGGGGCTGGCCTCTGCTGTCACCTTGTCACACAAAGGGGAGCGGCACCGGCACGCAGGGCAGGGGAGGCTGCTCCGCTATGGCGTCACCGGCGGTGGTGCGGGAAAAGGGGACGGGGCTGCTGCTCCGGGGACATCCCCCTGTCCCCTACAGCGGTGGCTGGAGACTGAGGGACACGGAGGGGCGGAGTGGCCGATCCCCACCTGTGTCCCCGCACAATGCTGTCACTCGTCGCTCACCCGTGTCTGGGTGGCACTGAAAGCTGCTAGCACCTGTCACCGAAACCAATCAGGGCGTTCATTTACTCTCTGTGCTTATCTGTGCCTGTAATTATTTCGCAGAACTCGGCGGGGCCCCGGGCTAGGCGGGATTGCAGTCAGGGAGCGAGCCGTGTCCTATTTCTCATCTCCTTGGTGTCACCTCTACCCTCCCGAAGCAGTGGGTGAGCGAGGAGGAGGAGGAGGGTGAGGGAACGGGCAGGGGCTGCTGTGGCCACAAACCCCGCTGAACTTCCCGTGGCCCGGGCACGCTGAAAGCTCAGCATGTTCGGCGTTCCGGGCTCCGCACGTGGCTGCTGCAGCTGCAGCCGGCTCCCAGCCCGGCCCTCGCCCGCCGGGCGGGGGGATGGAGCCGCGGGGCTGATTTCCAGCTCGCAGCGCTGATTTCCAGCTCGCAGGTCTGCCTTTCAGCTCGCAGCGCTGATTTCCAGCTCGGCCCCCTGTTCCTGGGCGGGGGGAGCAGCGTTCCGGGCCCGCTGCTGCCTTTGCAGTGGTGCAGGGCTGGCCCTGGCTCTGCGGGAGCTGGCAGCTCTCCCCTAATTAAATTTCTTCCACGCCACGGCCCCGCACAGGCAGCAGGTGATGCGGCTCGGCAAAGGCACCTCCACGTGCCCCAGCGCCGAGGAGGGCGAGGGTGCGGAACTGTGGGGCTGGGCAGAGCCGGGCTCTCTGCAGGAGCGATCCCTCCCTGCCTGCAGCGCAGGGAATCGGGCAGAGCTGCGGCTGCTTTGCCATCCCGCGGCCTGGATCCCCTCACCAGCACCATGCATGGCAAGTCTGTGACACCAAAATGCTCAATTCGACCGCTTTGGTGACATCTGGAGCCTCCCGGGGTCTGCCAAACCCTGCCCTCGCTGCAGCTCCCACTGCTTTGGCCCCCAGTTCCCAGTAAGAAATAGCAGAGGGGACGTGGGCAGCTGGGACAAAACACACCCAGGCCGGGGTGGCACAAGCCTGAGCTCACCCCTGCAGACCGAGGAGCACCGCGGGCCTGTCCTGCTGCTCGGAGCCCCTGCATGAACAATTCCCACCACTCTGGAGCACGGTGCTCTGCAGCTCCGTGGGCCCTGCAGCCCGCACAGGGGGCCAGCTCCAGGTCACCGTGGGCAAGTGGTCACTGCCGAGCACTCCGGGCTCTGCAGGGTTCCCTCCTCTCACGGAGCCCGGAGCAAAGGTCAGCTCCACATCACCGCTCGAGGCGTTTTTGCCGGCAGGGCCTTTGCCCCGTTCCCTTTGGAGGCTGATTGGGAGTGTCCCCGGCTGCTGCCCGTCCCCGTGTCCTGCGGAGTGTCCCCATCGTCCCTTCCTTCCCCATCCTCCCCTGCCTCCCTGGATTTTCCCCTGCCCGGCTGGGATGTGCTTTGGGAAAGGTGCAGCCGCATCCCACGCGGAGCTTTCCCCGTGTCCCGGGGAGGGTGACAGCGGAGGGGACAGCCCAGCCCGGCTGTCTCCTGACCGGAAAGTCACCGAGCATCGCAAAACGCTGAGCGTGGCACGGAGCCTGGGGCTGCTGCAGGCCGGGCTGGAGCTGCTGCCACGCTCAGCAATTCGTGCCTGCTCAGCCACACGTGCAGAGCGCCGAGGAAAACTCATCCCACCGCGGGGTGGGCTGGGCTCCGGCTGTTTAATTGCTCCCAGCTCATTAACAGGTGAGCTGCAAGCCGAGATAAGGAGGTCCCCGAGGGAAAGGCAGGATTAGACACTTGACCCTTGGCTGCCTCGGCGGGGTGAGCTGGCTCCAGCCGCCCCAGGGTACAGCGGGCACTCGGATTGGCACTTCTGGGAATCCGCCTGGAGCAGCTCCTGGGCTCTGCCGGCCTTGGCTGCCTCCTTGCCTGGGAGAGCTGTGTCAGCAGGGCTGGCGGGGAGCTCTACGTGCCCTGGCACAGCAGGGCTAGATCCCCCTGGAACCTTCTGGAAAGAGCTGCAGAGGGGTTTGGGATCAGGGGTGGAGGGGCAGGACACAGGGAATGGCTCCCGCTGCCAGAGGGCAGGGATGGGTGGGATTTGGGAAGGAATTCCTGGCTGGGATGGATTTCCCACAGCAGCTGGGGCTGCCCCTGGGTCCTGGCAGTGCCCAAGGCCAGGCTGGACAGGGCTTGGAGCAGCCTGGGACAGTGGGACGTGCCCCTGACCGTGGCAGGGCATGGGCTGAGATGATCCTTGAGATCTTCATCTCCTCCTGTTGTGGCAAACGAGGGATTTCTGGTGCCAGCAGCAGCTTTTCTCCTCAGTGACAGCATCTCTGGGGTTTTTTGTGGTCCCGTGGTGTGAAACATCTTTGTAGGACACTTTCCCACCAAGCTCTCAGAGCATCACCATTTCCAGGAGAAAGCTGCTCGCTTTCCCAGCAGTGCTATTTTCTCCTTTTTCACAGGGTTGGGGGATGCTGGGAACTGAAAATGTTGGTTGGGGAAGAAAAAAAAAAGAAAAAGAAATATGTTTTGCTGTGCGCAGATTGAAAAAGAAGAAAAGCAAACCAAACAAATGGAGTGAATCACAGGCACCTCCTGTTGCAAGAGCACGACACAAAAACAACAGGCAGGGCACGAGTGGTGGAAGTTGTGGCTGGAAAAGGGAGCCAGATGCCAATTCCTGACCAAGCTCCCAGCTCTGCACCAGCCAATTTGGGGACAGAACTGCTGCAAACCGGCCTGGGAAGGTGTTCTGTGGGTGATGCAGTCGGTGCCTTAAATGGGACACACTAAATTTAGACCCGAGTGCTTGAGTACAAACTAAATCTGAGCTTGAGCACGGAATAAATCTAAGTCCAAGGTGCTTTTTAGGGAAAATCTCACATCCTAAAACGGGCTGGGAGGTGAGCGAGGAGGGGCAATGGGTTCCAGCCGGCTCCGTGGCTATTCCAGGCTGCTCCAGAAATAGGGCTGCTTCCTCCTGCCGGGCACCCTTTTGCTACCAGCCCGGCCCCACCCGTGTGGCACGCCGGGGGAGCAGGATGTGGAGGTGTGATTTAAGTGTAAGGTCTGGGTGATGCAGCCCTTAATGACAGCTCTCTCTGTCACCTGTCCCCTCCCCGCCTCGCTTCACGGGGTCAGGGCAGCGATGATTCCACGTCTTGTTATGCATGGGGGTAAATATTCCCGTCTGGAGGGTGGGAGGGAGAGGGCACGGCGAGTTTCGGGAGTTTCCCTGAGGAATTCGGGGCCGGTCCCAGCCACACACCTGCCCTCGCCCTGCCCCGGCCGTGCTGGGATCTGAGTTTTGGGAAGTCTGCTGTCACATTCCTGCCCCCGGGGCTTTCCGAGGCTGGGGAATGCGAGCTGCGGGCAGGGCTGGACGTGAGGGGAATGGGAAATCCTTGTCCCGGCTCAGCGGGCACGCACAGGGTGCTGGGGAGGGCTCGGGGCATCCCTGGCACAAACCCGGGATGGCCCAGGGCTGGCACCCACAGGGACAGCACGGCGGGTGGGGGAGCCTCCAGCAGCAGGGGGGCTGGAAAGGCATGGTGGGGCTGTTCCTGATTATCCTTCTGGGAAGAGCACAACGGTGCCATTCCTGAGCCTGCTGGGATCCTTCCCAATCCCTATGGGAAGGGCACCATGGGGCCATTCCTGACCCCACTGGGAAAGTCTTGGTGGGGCCATTCTTGATCGCACTGGGATGGATCCTTCCTGCCTCCACTGGGAAGGGCACAGTGGGGCCATTAGCAAACCCACTGGGATCCTTCCCAATCCCTCTGTGAAGGGCACAGCAGGGCCACTCCTGATCCCGCTGGGATCCTTCCTGACCCCCCTGTGCCCAGCCCTGCCCAGGAAGGGTTTTCCAGCTGTGGGGAGCTGGGATAGGGATTGGATGGAGCGTGGTTGTTCTGCTGCTGGATGCTGCTGGAGCTGCTCAGGGCAGCTTTTCCCCCTGGAAGGCCTTTCCTGGGAAATCAATGCCTGGGT